ACAATTCAGTCTACAATATCGGCAGGCGTCGCATTCAACATGATGGTAAGCGCCAGTGTAGGTGTGCTTCCTAATACTTTAACCAAAAGTTCTGCATCATCTACATAGGCGATTACCCGACTTTTTCCAGTTCCTTTTGAGAGGGAGAGGGAGAGAGAACACCACCTTGCGGAGTGCCCTTATTGACTCTGAGCTGAGTGCAGGCGGGCTTCCACTCCGCAGCGACAGTTACAATGTGAGCTGTAGATAAGCCTTACAAGTTTGGTTTCAACTCTCAGATTATGAATAGACTTGACTATTGCCTCTGGAGTGACTTTGTTGAAGGCCCCCTCGATATCGAGGAAGCCCTATACTGCATGAAATTTATGCGTGAAGGCTTTCTCTAACAACTTTACCAATACGTGCAAGGCGGAATCCACCGCCCTTTCCTTGCAATAAGCAAATTGAGCTCTTGAAAGACAGTCGCGAGGGATCGCATTTCTTATGTAGATGTCTATCCGTTTCCCCAGCGTTTTTACCAAAAAACGAAGACAGATTGGCCTAAGATCCCTAAGGGAAACATGACAGCATTTTCTGTTCATAGGGAGGAACGCAACACTGACTACCCTCCAATCAGGGGAGATGTACCCGGTCCTCACGCAGTTCGCATAAATAGGAGCCAACCAATTGCACCACACCTCCAAAGAACTTTGCAGCTGCGTAGGTGTGATACCATCGGATCCTGGCGACTTGAAGCGTTTGAACGAATTCATCGCCAGGCCATGTGACGATCGTGGAGAAGATTGGAGAAGTACAGAACCTGAAGTACAAAATCTTGCAAAGAAGTACGTTTAACTGATCTGCCAAGTACGAAGTACAAGAGCTAAAAAAGAAGTACTGTACTTCCGGAAGAAGTACGGGTTTGTCACATTAGCCATACCTCATGTATTGCAATCCCAGTTCTAAACCTGGCCTCCCGCCCTCCCTCGCTAAACGTGCTTTGTTGGATTCGCTTATGCCAGTAAAGAAGAAGAACATAGAAGAAGAAATGTACAATATTTTTAGCAATTTGATGATGTTTTCTCCTTTTTTCAAGACTTCGCTTTTTAATACATTCGACCTCTCTGCTCATTAAAATCATTAATGAAGATCCGACATTTACAACGATGTTTTTACACTTTCCAAACACACCTTCGGAACAGCATCTAAAATTAGGTAATTGGTGGTACTTTGAACTTTCGACCTAAAGTCCCACAATTCCCAACTTAAACGTAGTATACTTTTTTATGATCTTTGTGTTTTTGTATTTGGTTATGTTTTTCACGCATTTATTTAATTAGAACAAGCGCGGGTCTATTAGTATGCCGGTTAACAAGCACAAAGCAACACTTACATACATACATATGTACATACGCATGTATGAACATTAAAATTAAAGATTCTCGCGATAGAAAAAGATTTAGAAATTTGGCGACCGTCTACGCTGTATTTGGAAGCTGAAATGGCAGTCAATGCCTTTTTTGCATTTCGTTGTTGTCATTAAATTTACACATGCGCAGATTTGCTTATTAATTTGAATTCTTAGCAAAAAAAAAGAAATTTTAAAATTAGAAATTCGCGCACATTTTGCATTTTTATTATACAACATTACATTTTTTTGTTGAATCTGCTAGAGATATCATTGTAGCACATACATATGTAGTTAAATACTTTTTTGTATAAACACAAAGTTATGTCTTTAAAAAATTCAACAATTCTGGAACTTTTCCACTCTTCTTTTGCCGCTTTGCACACACGACTTGGCCATAACACAAACGCGACTGTGGACAGTAGCTTGGCGCTATCCAGTGGTGACTAGTGCAATGGCTTGGCATTGAAGCCGTTATGAGTTGCTAAGACCCGGCTTCCGTTTGAGTTTCGTTGAGGCTTAGCATTGAAAAATAAATATTTATGCAGCTCAGTTGTTGAATTAAGGTGTGTGTAATCACATATGTAGCTTACTTGAATACTTAGCCTATACTATAGATATACCTATATACCTGCATACCTGGGCACAATATGCATATCAGCTCATTAATTTGCTAGCTTTTTATTTTTGTTTTTCTTTGTATTCACTCAATATGTAGATGGCTGTGTAGAAACTATTTATTTATTTTGTACAATATTTACGTATAATTGTTTTGTTTAATGTCACGCGTTGCAGCCGGTTTTAGATTACGATTCGCGTAGTTTTCTGAAATGCAAAAAATGTGTAAATAAATAACTGGTATTCATATGTATGTATGCATAGTCAACACAGTTAATAGAAATGAAATATGATATAAGTTTAGGGCAAACATGTTTGTTGTACACTGAAAATACGCTAAGCGCACGTTTTAAGCACGAGACAAGCGGTAGACTAATTTATATTCTGTTTGATGCAAAAACTAAAACAAAGTAAAGTAAAACAAAAACACCAATGAAAAAAAAAATAATAATAATAATCAAGCTTTTATATATCTACGCTAAATAATAGGTCACTGTATTATAATGTTCCATTTGATTGGTTTAGTCGGTTGTATGCTTTGACATACTTATTTACATAAATACGGGAAATAGGAACCAGTGATTAAATATTTATAAATGGGAAGTATGTAAATTATAGGAATTAAAGCCTAATTTAAGAATTATTAATTAATCACAACGGTTTTACCCTCCTTCCTACCAACCAACCCGACGGGCATAGGCCGCGTGACGTAAGGAACTTGTTTTGACGTAGAATACGGTATGGATGCCTCGCTCAAATCTTGTAGATGTAATTTTTACAACTTCGCAAAAACGCTTATTGCACGAGAACTAAAGAAATTACTAAAATATGGATATTAATCAAAATTTGTTTGAAGAAATTTCATTTCTTAATTACATGTAGGAGGGTTGCCACCTGTTTTAACATTTAAATTCAACTTGAACTAGGTTTAGCAAATTTTCAGTTCGAAAATATTTTGAAGGAGCTTGGCACCAGTTTACAAATTTAAATTCAATGTATGCCCTTTAATTAAATAACTTCAATATGGATATCAATCACAAATAATTTGAAGATATTTTATTTCTAAACTACATGTAGGAGGGTTGCCAGCTGTTTTAAGATTTAAATTCAGCTTGAACTAACGGAATTAGATGATTTGAATATGTAACACAATACGGCCGTGAGACGTTTAAGTTTGAAAATAATTATAAAAAGGTTGCCACATGTTTGCAAAATTAAGTTCGATATATGCAGTAGGGTAAATAAACTAAATCAGTATGAATATCAATCAAAACAGTTTTGAAGAAACTTTATCCCCAAAACTCATGTAGCAATGTTTAAAATTTCAATGCAACTTGAATTAAGGAAATTAGATGATTTAAGTAAGTACCTTTATTTGGGTGTCACACGAAAAAGGTGTAACAAGGTTTTACTTTGAAATTATTTTTAACGGTGTTGCCATCTATTTAAAAAGCCGAATTTATTTAAATTATACATAAGTTACTGTATGAAATATTAAAAAATTGGCATCAAATGAACGTATAAGAAAATGTTTAGCTGGGACATTAGGAATATTAAAGAGGGCTGCCACCAGTTTAAAAAGTTAAACTCAATTTATTTAATAAGTTACAGGAATCATTAAAAAATGGGTAGCACTTGAAATAGGTTTAAAGTTAGTGGTTAGCAGTGCGCGCAATCATTCTGCAGAGTTTGGGTTCAAGTCCAGTTCGACCCAACATCAAAAAATAAAAAAGTTGTTTTTTCTAATAGCGGTCCCACCGGGCATACAATGGCAAACCTCCGAACGTATTAAATGGACTAAAAAAAATTTTAATCGAAAATTTTCTAAAAGTTCTGAATAAAAATTTGAAATTTGGATGATAAATTTTGGAAATTTTTATTAATTTTTGTGAACTTTGTGTAAGCTTGGAAACTTTAATTTGTGCGGTTTCTGTTAAGAAATCGAACTATGTTTTAAATAAAGTTGCAAAAAAGTCATTTTGTATTTTGCACCTATTCTTTTGTCCATGAGTGTATGTACATATATTATGCTCCATCGGCTTTCAATATAAAAACTAACGTTTCATAACTTCTTGTCTATCGCATGTGCAATGTCATACAGTTCAATGAACTTCAAATCTAACACACATATGCACATACATATGTAAATTTATTTAAGTGCATATTTAATATTAAAAGAAGATAACGAATTTGCGCTGAAATAAAGAGGCATGCTCAAATGAATTGTTATTTAATTAGTGCTTGTCACAAGATAATCAACAGAAACTAATTTTTCTCAGAGATTTGTCGAATTTAATTATTATTTGTGCCCAATTTATGCCTACTTTTGTGTAATTTCATTATTTTAAAACTTTTTAGAATAAATATTTGTGTTTGCCCAACAATGCCCTGTTGCTTACTCGCTTACTAAATAAATATTTTTCTATGGGGTCCAAAGTATAAGTTTTAGGTAACTGACTCATTGTAAGCACACAAATCGAGCTTAATTTTTCTCTTCACCGTCTGCTAGAAATACATATCTGTTGAAAAATTGGTCACAACTAATGCTATGCATAACACATTTTATGACTTGTTTCAGCACACTTTTTAAACTCTATTTCGATTTATTGCACAAATTCGAACTTGTCATCTCAGCGTTCTGTTATCTTTTGCAGTGTTTATGTAGAGACTATTCTGAAATTTACAGATTATATACGGTTAGATTAACTTGGTTGAGACCAAAACTGGTGCATAGCGTTGACAGCGGAGTATCGGAGGCATAAGCCCCAGATCCTATTTACGAACCTCGTCCATTCTCAATCAATGTTCGGATCTCTCCAGTGCTTCCAAATGGGTAGGAGTATGATATATTTTGGAACGAATTTTCGTCATCCTTTGTCAGTGTGTTTTGGAGACAAACCGGTTTCGGAATTTTCTCGTAAAACTTGGGAAACCTGTTACTGAAATTTTAAATTTATTTAAAAAAGTTTCAAAAGGTTTCTAACCAAGTACAACATTCCAGTATTTAACCATCCGCCTTGTTCGCTAGATCCTACGCCTATGAAATATGCATTAATAGGAATAAGATTTTTGAGTCCATTGAAGCTAACCTGAAGCAGCTGAGAGAAAAAGATTACCAGCACGGTTTCGAATAATAGACGATTCCCATGGCGCATTGTATGGACATAGAAGGTTGGTAGCTTGATGGGGCTAATAAGTAAATATCAATGAATACAAAATAAGACGTTTTACATTGCCTTCTTAATCTTAATAGGCACTACAACCGTCGATTTAGATCAAACAATTTGCCATTACCTCTCTCCTTGGCGTATTAGCCCCAGTTGTTCATATCGAGTGCAGTCGGGTCAGAACAGGTCCTTCCTTTTGTTGGCCAGCCATGGGTATCCATGAAGTTACTCACACTTAAGTTGGAAGCTGCCAGCTCATCTGATTTCGTTTAGTTTAGTATACTACACAGATCCCAGACTTGACGAATAATACTAACTCCATCGTGCCTGGATTCAGATCCAGACCCAGCTCTTTTGGCTTAAATTTAGTGTTCACGTAAATATTTTGGTCTTCTTGTTTATTAAATTTTCCTTATACGATTATAGCGGGATCGTCTGCATATCCCGTTAGCTTCACACCAAAGTCTCTTCTGAGATTACCAAAAATCTTTAATTTTTCTTTTTAATTATTTTAGTATGCCACGGCTTATCGCAGTAATTATGATTATCGGTAGAAAACCATTGCCCTCCTTCAGAATTTAGTTCAAACCCCCCTATCTCAACATATTTGCATTTAAAATCGGGGGGTTTTCAACCAAATTCTGAGATAGGGCGTTTTTCGAACAATTTGAAATTAAGGCGTTCTTCAACAAAATTCTGAAGTAGGGTGTATTTGAAAAGTTTTTTGAGGTAGGACGTTTTCGAACCGGCTGCCTAGATGGGTCGATCTTCCATTCAGCAGTTGATATAGGATATTTTTTGAAGACAGTTGCCACCTGTGGGTGTCAAACGAAAGGGGCTCCAAAACGATTTCTTTCGAAAATATTTTTTAATGGCACTGCCACCTGGTAAAAATTACAAAAAAAAAGATTAATTAATAAGTTAAAAAAATCACTAAAATTCAAGTGATAAACGATGTTGGTTCAAAAGCGACTTTTTTCGAAAATATTCTTTAAGTGAGTTACCACCTGTTTAAAAATTTAAAATCAATTTGATTAAAAATTAAACGAAATATTTTAATATGGGTATTAGACGATAGAGGTTTTAGGAAAGTTGTTTCTATTTCAAAAATATTTTTCAAATTTAATCAGCTTGATTGACAAGTTAAATGAAATCCTATTAATATTATACATGTGAAAGCTTGTGAGATAACTTATAGATATAATTTCTAGAAATGGCTTATGACTTCCATTAAAATATAGCATATTTTTTGGAGAGGGTTGCTACCTGTTTAAATAGTAAAATTCTATTTTTAATTATAGGTAAGATTTAAAGAAGCTTTATTACGAAAATATCTTGAAGAGGATTGCCATGTCAGTGAACTGCAACAAAATGAAACCAACAACAAAACTTTTTATGTCTCTAGTCTAATAGCTTTGTTTTTTCTCCTATAAAATATTTTTTCTTTGATAAAAGACAAATGCATTAGAGGCATCCAATTATATTTAAACTCACCCTTAAAAGTGCAACTTTTTAGAGCTTTATTCGACTCAAAAACTATCTTTCAATCGACCCAAATATATTGTATTTTTTTTTTTCTACAAAATAAGCAATAATTTCACGTTTGATAGTTGATAGATATATAGATAGATAGATAAAGAACTGCGACCAGTAGGTCTATTGTGCCCTAGTAGCAAAATATAAATTTTGTGTATAAAATGGACTTGAGGGACCTCTATTTTTTCTTTTCTAAATCAAGTTATGTACACTTTTACGCTTTAGCAAAGAAAAGCACAAATTTAGTTTGCCTTGAATAATATTAAACAAATATTTTTAAAATATTTTATTTTTATTATCAACATAAACAGTACGATATTTGTCTATATAGCCACGAAATTGTTTCAAGGTCGAATGTTCAGAAATTGTACTTCGATCGTGCATATACACGTAAATACTTAAATATGTACGTATATACTACATACTGTAGATATTCCAGTTTGAGTTAAGATGGAGTTAAAGAAATTCAAAAAGAAAGAAACACAACTGCATTTAAAAACTCGTATATATTTACACCTGTTGGCCTGATTGGTAACGGCTTACTGACAGCGAACCATATCAATCAATTGTGGAATGGTAAAAACAAATTTAAAGTAAAATATAATGCGTCATATCAGATAACCCAATAAGGAAAAAGTGTAGAGTTAATTAAAAAGAAAAACTAAATATTGGGCGCTTACACATTTGTTTATTGTATTGTTTGTTTTACGCTGAGAAGACTCTATGCAGTAGAATTACACTTGGAGGCTTACCAATACCGCATAGGAAAACACTTTTTCTATAATTTTTTAAATGTTGCTCGAACCGGGGTTCGAATCTTACTACTACGGAAACGTAATACAGCATTGTCTGAGCATTGACCCAGAGCCCAAATAGCGCTGCTAGCGCCATTTTGATTTGCTATCTCTCTATTATTATCTACCGCCACGAGTTCCTAACCCAAAATGTAAGTATAGCGTGTTAAAACTGTCTTTGACCATCTTGGATTTAATAGTCCTGTTTGAAAGGGCCCGGATGGCTGCTTGATTACCTGAAAAGGTAACTAGGTAACTAGAAAGGCGCCCTTTTCAGGGTTAAATTTTGCGCAATTTAAAATTGCGACTATTTCAGCCTGGAACACCGTGGGTCATTTGCCAATGGGGATTGCAAGTTTGGTGCCAGGTCAAAAAACACCTTCACCTGGTCTGTCCTCCATCCTGGAACCGTCTGTGTACCATTGAACATATCCTGGATCAATTGCAGCCCATTTTCCCCAATATTATCGATCAGGGATTATCAGTTTAAGCTTTCTGCCAAAGCAGACCTCTTCAGTCATGAAATTATAGATTCTGCATATTTCCAACCCTGGTATTTTCCTAAAAATACCTGTATGAAGCTTCTTTGCGAGGAAGCCTTCGTTAGATAGTCGAAGTTGCAGTTGCCTCATGGCTGCTGTTTCCCGGATAAAAATACGGAGAGAAGTTCATCCTAGAAATGACTCTAGAGACGCAGTTGAACACGTTCTTATTGATCCAGTGACTGACAGATATGCCAATCTTTGCAGTTTGTTAAAGCGTAGTATGCTGCGTGTGGCTTCAGCAACCGTTCTCTTAAGTTGGGAGCTCCAATTAAGACCTCTTCAGTCATGAAATTATAGATTCTGCATATTTCCAACCCTGGTATTTTCCTAAAAATACCTGTATGAAGCTTCTTTGCGAGGAAGCCTTCGTTAGATAGTCGAAGTTGCAGTTGCCTCATGGCTGCTGTTTCCCGGATAAAAATACGGAGAGAAGTTCATCCTAGAAATGACTCTAGAGACGCAGTTGAACACGTTCTTATTGATCCAGTGACTGACAGATATGCCAATCTTTGCAGTTTGTTAAAGCGTAGTATGCTGCGTGTGGCTTCAGCAACCGTTCTCTTAAGTTGGGAGCTCCAATTAAGTCTCTAATCTAGGAAATCCCTAGATTTTTTACCACATCTGGGTATTCAAGCCGTGTCCGTCCGAGAGTGACCGAACCAAGGTGTGGTTTATATCTTGTTGTAAACGGTACAAGAACAGGCTTCCGAAGATTTATGCTGAGGCCCCCATTGTCATACCAGTGCGATGAGCTGCACCTGTAAGGTCCAAGACAGTAACGTAAAGTTTATAAAAGAGAGTAAGAACTCCTTTTCATGATTATTGTTGCTTACTGGGTTACATACCTACACTAGGAGTGCAAGCGACTGGCATGCATCATATTCGAGCGTTTTAATCGCTTGAAAGTTGAGTTCTAAATTTGAAATCGTCGCCCGTATGCCAGAACCATGAATGTGTAAAAATTAAAATTTGGAGAAATCAAGTTTGAAAGTTGTTTTTATACGAGACTTAACTCTACATTTATGCAATTAAAATTGGAAATTATTAATGTGGTTTCCGTATCAGCATGGTATTCTGGGTTTTGGTATAAAATAGAACATCCAAAGGTTAATCAAGTCAGCCAAATAACTCAAAACTGATAATTTTGTACCTTCATGCCTCTAGCATAAGGGTGACGATATGAACTTTGTACCGAAAATTAAAAAATGAAAGAACAACGTAATCGAAAGAAAACACAAGCTAGTCGCATGCATGTCAGATAAGAAATAAATATTATTTTTTGAGTAAAACTGGCGCTGAGTATTACTGCAGATAAATGTTAAGTATTAAAATTGTGTCACAATGCCGGTATTTGATGTGTTGGGTTTGCGATGAAAACTTTCTTTCGGAGTCGCTGACAGAAGCCTATATAATCCCCACATAAATATACGCGAAGATTCCTCAAAATAAATTTTTCTTAATAATGGAAAACGGTCATCGGCAAAAAAAGCTCCAAGAAAAATAATTTTCTAATGTTTTGGGACTCTGGCAAAGGAAAATGTAGTAAAGCGATAGGCCCTGTTTATGCTTTATCATTTTATTTATTGACCTCAATGCATATAGGTAAGGTTAGGTTAATGTCGGTGCTCCGCGCTCACTTAAACCGAGAGCGTAACTGCTAAGTTTAAGCGAGAATCGAACGAAGTTTCGCAGGCGGCAGATGCTAGTCCCGGAGAGTTCCTTCGGACAAGCTATAATGTACGAACCGAAGTGCCAACCCACAATGTAGAAAAGGCTAGGCAGTCTAAAAGGAGATGCTGAGATGATTCCATCTCATCTTCCTCCATGCAGCTGCGACAAAAAAGGTCTTGTGCGCTATTTAATCTCACTGCGTGAACCCCGATAGTCCACCATAATCGAGAGAAGCGGCGTCGCGAGGCCAAGACGATCGAAAAGCAAAAAAGAGATATTTGGATACCGATAGAAAAAATAAGATAAGTTCAGATTCCTCTATGGAGACTCAAAAAATTTAAGTTAATATTTTTTTTTTTATTTAATACCCAAAATCGATACTACTAATGCCGAAGGTATCACATATAAATTTTGGTTCCGATTGGAGTCGGGTAAGGCGTGTCGCACAGGGGTCAAAGTTCAGATTCCTCTATGGAGACTCAAAAATTTTAAATGCATTTTTTTTTTCATCTAATACCCAAAATCGATACTACTAACGGGTAAAAGTTTAGATTCTTCGCCTTCTACTGCGCCTACAGTAGTATCGATTTTGGGTATTAGATGAAAAAATAAATGTATTTAAATTTTTTGAGTGTCCTGTGCGACACGTCTTAACCGTCTCCAATCGGGACTAAAATTTATATGTGATATCTTTGACTGTTTTATTAGCGACTGAGGGGGTGAAACTTAAAATTTCATTTTAAGGGCCACCCTAGTACAGATACAATAAAAGTTGGCTCTTTATCGGGCTGGGACGTGTCCCGTCGTGCCGGGTCGGGCCGGGCCCCACTAAAATTCTTAACGTGCGGGCTCGTGCGTGTTTTTAAATGTTGATTTTGCACTCGTGCAGGGCCGGGCCTGAAAATTTAGGCCCATGCCCATCTCTACTAAGGACCATCGTGGAAGTGTTTTTTCCAGTGCATTACACCAGACGATAACTCCATAAAATATGGGCTTAACTATAGGTACATAGAGCCAGAAATGAATTCCTATGTTTATGTAGCAGTTTAATATTTTAAAACATTTTGT